GGCTGCAATATAACAAAGAGTGAAAAATTTAAGGGGGTCTGAATACTTTCCGTACCCACTGTATATACATAATAAATATACACACATTATTTAAAGAAAAACTTGGATGCGATTAATCGTTTGACAGCACTAGTACAAAAATTAAAATTTCATGTAGCAAATACAATTATGCATCATAATTTAAAGGTTTCATGGATAGACGTCCTTTTGGGAGAATCATTCCTTCAAATAATGACTCTGAAATGAGCAGATTTTCTTTATTATTTATCAGACCAAAAGATCATGTTTAAAACACTGAAATTTTTAGATATCAAACTAATAGCGAGCAAAAAGCTGGTTCTTTACTTGAGGAGAGAGCATCATTGTTTTTGATAGTGTGTTTAGATCTGCTTGAAATTAAAAGAAATCTTGCCAAATGTTTTTGCAGTTAGTTTTTTTTTTTTTTTTCATGATCAGTCATTAATCCAGGCAGGATCCCATAAAGCCTGTACTTTGCCATTCTGTACTTTGTGCAGTATTACTCATACTACTTGTAGGCTATATGACACACGTGACGTGTTACATCCGTATTGGCAGAAGTTCTTGATCGGATCTCTACACAAAACGTCTGCAAGGCATGACAAATGAATTCCGCCCACACTCTACTACACAATTGTCGTTTTCATAAAGCACATTGCGGCAGCTCTCTATCAACGCATACATTTTACAAGAAGTCACAAGGCATCGCATACAAGCAGTACGTTTTTAAACCCAGTATCCAGAGCTGGGTAGTAACTGGTTACATGTAATCTGGATTACTAATCAGATTCCAAAAATGAAGTACTTGTAATTAGATTAAATTACATTTACCCGTAATCGGACTGGTTACTTTTTTAACTGATTACATGATTACATATTATTCACAGAGTAGCAATACATTATTCATAATAGGTCTTCTGTGGCACCACTGCAAAAGCCACATTTTGGACCATTTATTTGTGTATGATACATCCACAATGATTTGACTGAGCATCAAACCCATATGAAGGGTTTATATTTATACATAACTATCCGCTGACAACTGACATAAGAGTAACACTGATGCAAACGGTTTAAGAGTTTATTTCCTGTTTTGCAACAGATGTCAAATTGGAAGAACCTGGATGAAGTGAGTGAAGAGTGGTGGGACAATGCGTATAAGCTGTTTCTTGAAAGCGAACCAATAGCAATGACTCTGAGACATGTTGCTTTCTATATAAGCGGTGATAGATGGAATGATTATGGATTCCACCGTGACACACATGTTCCTCCAACTGGGGAAGTCCGTGGTGTTTCTAGAAAGGCAATTTTGGTGGTGATTTCAAGAGCAAGAAGAATGGAGAGATGTGATTGGAAGATGCTACATCGGGCACCTTCTGAACCTAAGGATCTAGACGGCAGTGACAAGTACCTTATAAACTGGGTTACTGGACTGATATATAACGAGGATGGCAGCCCAAAAGCATTGTACAGATAGGCTGAACAATATTAATCATAATGTTAATGAAAGAACATTTGTTTAATAACTTTTGAGAGAGAACGTTGCCAAACTTTTCCTGTTAGCTGGGATGGTTGTTTTTATAACATGACTTTTCCCTGTATTCTTCCGACAGATTACCTCTATCTATCAGGTAATCATTTATAGTTAATCATTTACATTCTCATTTGCGTCTATAAGAGACTATTGTGTACTATCATTAACTCAAGATCAAGGACTTGTTTTGTTTTTATCTGCAATCATATAAGGTAATTGATGTATGTCCAGCAGTACCATTCGAAAAGATTAATGTTGTTTTATTGAGAAGATGAATACTGTTAAAAAGAGTATGATCAAAACATTTTGTGTGTTTCATATTAGAAACCACTGTTAAAAACATGCATGCATGTACATTAATGCATCAATTACAGGTGTAATCATGATCCTAGCTTTTTAGGAGCCTGGATGGTCATGTGGTGCCTTGTATGATCTCACGAATCTTGTCTGTATCAGCTTGCAGGGCTGCGTTGTGTGGGTCGATTTCTAGAGCCGCCTGATAGTCCTGAAGACCTAAAAAACCCATCAGATTAATGTTGTGAAATTAGTGCTGTCAAACAATTAATCGCATCCAAAATAGAAGTTTTTGTTTACATAATATATGTATGTGTACTGTGTATATTTATTATGCATATATAAATACACACACATGCATCTACATATTTTAGAAAAATATGTTATGTTTATATAGTAAATAAATATATTTATTTATAATATAAATTATATGAATATAAATACAGACATGTAAATATTTACAAAATATATACTGTATGTGTGTGTGTGTTTATATATACATAATACACACACATATATTAAGCAAACAAAGACTTTTATTTTGTATGCGATTAATCGTTTGACAGCACTATGTGAAATACTTCCTGTATTTCAGGAAGTTACCAAGAGAACCAGAGTTGTGTGGCATTCAGAAATCAAATGACAGTGTCTTTAAAATTCCAATTTAAATCATAAATTTGAATTACATGTGTAGCAACAATAATGCAGAATTGATTCAAATGTAATTTTTTAGATTATGAACAATGGCCAAATAACCCAGAATGCTCTAATTTACAGATGCTGATGTCATGAATTATTTTTGATAAAATATTATTAAAAAAAAACTTATTTTTATTTCTTAAAACTGTGATGAACATTTGTGTTCTGCTGTATGGCGCTGATGTCATGAATTATTTTTGATAAAATATTATTAAAAAAAAACATTTTTATTTCTTAAAACTGTGATGAACATTTTTGTTCTGCTGTATGGCATAAATAAAATGTGTTAACTGCTTTTGACAAAACAGCAAGAATATACATTCTGCATATCACAACAGAGGCCAATTTGATTGAAATTCCAACTCAAGAATATCAGATATTTTTATAATAGATAACAGTCATTTAACAGTGATAAGAACAGAGATAACAGTGTTTTCAGTGCATAGATTTCTCCCACACTATTTACTACAGATAACTGTGTATTTATATGACTGCTGCAGAGATTGATGTGTTTTGCATGAAAGCAGAATAATTGATGATCCTGTACCTTCCACATAAAGCTCAAGCTCACAGAATGCTGTTCCACGCCTCACGTGAGCCTTCAGTCGAGCCGGAGCGTTTGCAGTGACCGCAGGCTTCAGTAACTCAAGGGCCTGTGAGAGTTTATGTGTGTTAATGTGAAGGGAATCAGTGCGCTGTATACAAAAAGAGAAATTTAAAAAAGAACATAAACGCTAAAAACTGACCTGAGAGCTGTCCTCAATGGCTTTGTGAAGATTTCTCAGTTTGAGATGACAGGCCGCTCGGTTAGAAAATAAAGCCGGGATCTTCCTGTTGAGTTTTATGGCCAGATTATAAGCGTTGACGGCAGCCTGGTAGTTTCCTGCCATGAACAATTTACTGCAGGAAAAGGGGAAAAAAGGTGATTATGATATTTAATGCTGTGTTTTTTTAAATAAATGACACTTGCTTTGATATTTTGTTTATTACATTCAGACATTTGTACTGCACCTGTACACTACCATTCAAACGTTTGGGGTTAGCAAGAAATTAATACTTTGATTTAAAAAGGATGCATTAAATTGATCAAAAGTAACATTTACAACAATGTTACAAAATATTTATATTTCAAAGAAATACTGTTCTTCTGAACGTTCTATTCATCAAATAATCCAAAAAAAAAAAAATGTATCTTGTTTCCACAAAAATATTAAACTGCATATTACAATGATTTCTGATTTCAGCATATTACAATGATTTCTGAAGACTGGAGTAATGATGCTGAAAATTCAGCTTTGATCACAGAAATAAATTACATTTTAATATATATTCATATAGAAAACAGCTATTTTAAATAGTAATATTATTTCACGTTTTTTACTGTATTTTTGATCAAATAAATGCAGTCTTGGTGAGCAGAACAGACTTCTTTTAAAACACTTAAGATCTTACCATCCCCAAACTTCTGAACGGTAATGTTCATATAAAACACTACAAAATATCAGCAAATAAACTGATGGAAGACATGCTGTCCTTCCTTTCTCCACAAACATGACTGTTTGGACTCATAGTTCTCATTAAAGGGACAGTTCACCCAAAAATGAAAATTCTGTCATTAATTACTTACCCTCAGAACTGCTGAATAAATTATGTTATTATTGTTTTCTTTGCGCACAAAAAGCATTCTCGTAGCTTCGTAAAATTACGGTTGAACCCCTGATGTCACATGGACTGTTTTACTGATGTCCTTTTCTGTGTTTCTGAGCCTTGATCGTGCTAACATCATTGCTGTCTGTGGAGGATCAGAGAGCTCTCAGTCTCAAAAATCAAAAATATCTTCATTTGTGTTCCGATGATGAATGAATGTCTTACGGGTTTGGAGTAATTAATGACAGAATTTTCACTTTTGGGTGAACTATCCCTTTAAGTGTGATCTGTGAACTCACTCGCCCTTCTCTTTCAGCCAGTCTGGGTTTCTCTCTTCCTCTCTCAGGTCGTCCAGTTCGGCCAGATCTGTGTCCACTGCTCTCCTGGCCTCCGCCTGCTTCTTCAACCACTGCTCACACACACATGGACATAATTAGACTCTCAATATTGCAAACCATTTTAGTGCTAATCTATCATTTATAAAGCAGATCTGACCTCTTCCTCCTCCGGGACACGAGACTCTCTCAGCGCGGTGGGAAACACTCGTGGAGTGAAGCTGATCTGAATGCAGCCAGCTGATCTGGGAGCAGGCAGATCTGTGGGTTTCTGTTTTCTGCTTCTCTGACCTAGCAAGAAAATACAGGAGCTTAATCAAAACTTTGTGACTTAAATTTTTTTATTCAAAAATTTGTGACCCTGGAGCACAAAAGCAGTCTTAAGTCGCTGGGGTATATTTGTAGCAATAGCCAACAATACATTGTATGGGTCAAAATTATCCATTTTTCTTTTACATTTACATTTAGTCATTTAACAGACGCTTTTATCCAAAGCGACTTAAAAATGAGGACAATGGAAGCAATCAAAATCAACAAAAGAGCAATGATATGCAAGTGCTATAACAAGTCTCAGTTAGCCTAATGCAGTACACTTACCAAGGTTTTTTTTTGTTGTTGTTAAATTATATAATAAATAAAAAGAAAACCGATAGAATAGAAAAATAAATAGAGCAAGCTAGTGTTAGAGGCCTTTTTTTACTTTTGTTAATTGTATAATAAATAAAAAGAAAACAAATAGATAGAATACAAAAAGAATAGAGAAGCTAATGTTAGGTTTTTTTTTAAAGAAAATAAGTAGTTCGCAAATGAACAGAGTGCAAGTCTAAAAGTGGCGAGTTTTAAAGAAGAGAATTAGAATAGAGAGTGCTAGAGTTAGAGTTTTAAAATCATTAGGATATTAAGCAAAGATCATGTTCCATGAAGATATTTTGTACATTTCCTACCGTAAATATATAAAAACTTAATTTTTGATTAGTAATATGCATTGCTAAGAACTATATTTTGTATATACTATATAATATTTTGATTTTTTTGCACCCTCAGATTCCAGATTTTCAAATAGTTTCAAATAGTATCTCAGCCAAATATTGTCCTATCCTAACAAACCATACATCAATGGAAAGCTTATTTAAAATGACCCTAATATGACTGGTTTTGTGGTCCAGTTTCACATATTATATATTTTGACTGCTTCTTTACAGTGTTTCAAAAACGAGGAACTCAATCAAAGAAGCGAGCATCATGTCAGGTCCTGAGAAGAACAGTGTAACATCAGATCTGTAATGGAGCACAAAGTTAAAGTGTGTTTACCAGATGTAGTGTCCACAGTATTATGCATCAGCGTGACAGCAGGTGGAGCGTTTACACGCTCTGTTTTCTGATAAACCGGTTGGTTGTCGTGCGTGCCGGTTCCTTGTTTTTTTTGCTGGTTTTCATTTTCTTCTGCTGTTTTTCTCTGCGTTTCTCTCCAGAAATCCAGTTCTGCCGTAGCTCTCGCACACTCTTCATCCTTCATCTTCTGAATCCTGCCCCGCTCCTCGTTCTCAACCTAAACACAGGCAGAGAACTCAACAGCAAGCTAATGTTTGAGACAACATTCAAATAGTTAAGCGAAGTTAAGCGTCATTACCATTACATTATCTTTATTTATAAGTGCTGCTTAATATTACCACTGGGAATTGCATTTATCTTCAAAGTAAAAACCCTTCATAAATACATATTCTCATATATATATATATATACTGTATATGTGTGTGTGTGTGTGTGTATATATGTATACTTTTTTTTTTTTGCTTAATATTACCACTAGGATTGCATTCATTATCGTCTCAAAAAAAGTATTTTTAAATAAATAATTCTAAGCAAGCTAATGTTTGAGACAGCATTCAAATACATGAGAAATCATTCTGCATATATAGCAAAAATTATCATGTACATTGATTCAAAAACAGGTAGATCAAGAATAAATCTTTAAAAATTTGACCCTCTAACTCTAGCACTCTATTCTAATTCTATCCTTTAAAAAAAAAAACTTGCCCCTTTTAGACTTGCACTCTATTCATTTACCATATCTTCCATCTTTATTTGACCCTCTAACTCTAGCACTCTCTATTCTAATTATATTCTTAAAAAAAAAAACTTGACCCTTTTAGACTTGCACTCTATTCATTTACTAACGGCTTGTTTTCTTTAAAAAAAGCGCACACAAAAAAACACACTAGCTTCTCTAATCTTTTTGTATTCTATCTATTTGTATTCTTTTTATTTATTATACAATTAACAAAAGAAAAAAAAGGCCTCTAACACTAGCTTGCTCTATTCTTTTTCTATTCTATGTGTTGTCTTTTTATTTATTGTATAATTAAAAAAACCTTGCTGTGTGTACTGCGTTAAGCTAACTGAGACTCGTTATAGCACTTGTGTATCATTGCTCTTTTGTTGATTTTGATTGCTTCCATTGTCCTCATTTGTAAGTCTGCATCTGCTAAATGACTAAATGTAAATAAAGTATACGACATTTATACATTCTGGACGTTTTTGTTATACTTATTTTAATCTATACTGATTCTAAATGAATAAATAATACTGTTGTCAACTAGATTATTCTCTTTAATCATCATTATGGGGAAAAATGCATGAAAACAAGCTTTATTTTCTTTATGTAAAACAAAAGTTCAAGGTAAGACACCAGCACTTTCAAGGCAATGTACTTTATAACTGTAATGTGAGACCAAAAACACTTTTAGACCTTCATCATGGTTTCCAGCGCATATTTCTTCTCCTGTTGAATCCTGGCAGCTGTGGCTTTAGATTTTTCTGCTTCTTTCTCCTGAACTTTGAGAATTGCTTGTTCTCGAATCTGCTTCTGTTTGTCTTTATCTTTGGAATAAACATATACATCTTTAAAGATAACTATATGCAAGAGATAGAGGAAATGTTTCTGATCCAAGCTACCTGATGATGGCAGTAATGCACTGTTAAGTGCAGTTGCCAGCAGTGTTGCCAACTTAGCAATTTTGTTGCTAAATTTAGCAACTTTTCAGACTACCCTAGCAACTTTTTCTTCCAAAAGCACCTAGCAACAAATTTAGCAATTTTAAAAATTTATTTGGCAACTTTTAGCAACTTTTGATAAAGACTCAGACAATAAAAAGGCACACATTTTCCATCCAAATGACACAAAAAGCCTAGCAGTACACACATCACGAGAATTGAGTTAATTGATATTTGCAATTGTTCAATATAATAATAATTGAATAATTTGATAATTGAATATTTGTTCATTTATGATACACTTTGTTAGTAGCTTGTACCTGCAATTGTTGATCAGTTAGTACACTAAGAAAAATTGAAAATCTTTCAGGACATTATCCATCATCCATTGTAACCATGTAACCCGAAAACACAATGCGTAATTTAAAATGCAGGTAAAAAAAACATTACAGAAAATTATTTCATATTAACATAGTAGATTGTGCCTTATTTTTACAGACTTTTCTTAGAGTGTAGCATACTAACTAACTACTAATACACTGCTTAAAGCATAATTGTTGAGAATGTGTAGAATTACTAGTTTACTAGCTACTAAAAAAACTACAATTGTAATCATTCAAAAATGTGTAAGTTTTCAATAATTCAATGTATTTAAAAATACAGTTATTTATATTTTAATATTATATCATGCATATTATTTTACAAACAAATCTAAATTAACACATATAAAATATATTTTTTGCTGAGATTTGATGACGTGACAATTTTGCGTCGTGATTACGCAATGACGTCATTGAGCAATGGCGTCACAATGTCATTTAGCAACTTTTAGCAACAAATC